GCCGATGTGGTTTATCACCAAGGCCGAGATGTGTATTATCTAGCGCGAGATGTTGTACAATGATTCTTGTCCTGGACGGTACGTCCTCAGACAAGGTGTAGCACATCTAGGCCAAGTGTGGCAGCAGCTAGGCCAAGTGTTTGTTCCCTTCTTGCCGAGATCATTGAGACCTTACTTGCCGAAGCTTTGTCCTAACCGAGATCATTACCCGCCAAAGTGTCCTTCACCTTACTTGTTTGCTTACACTTTGTTCATGCTCTGTTTATCAATCTATGCACGCTTTTTGAGGAGATCGCAATCAGTCGTTGCCGACATGTCCCAGCAGAGGGTTAAGTCAGCCGGCAGAGTTGAAACATATCATTTCCGTCATATCTTTGCGATGTAGAGAGAGAACGCTCTAGCGAAGAGGAGAGGCAAGTTGCGAGTGAGAGGCTAGATCCCAAGCTTGATCTTTACGAGTTTGAGCCGTTTAATCCTTGTTTGTGAGGTTAGAACTTGATTTACTCTTGTTATTCTTTATGTTTGATCCGATTGCATTGCATATATCAGCATGATTCATGAGTCCCATGCATTGATTTAAAGTTTGTTTTAGAAAGAGAAATGATGTTCATGTGTTCTTGAAGAAAACAAAACCATGTTTGATCCGAAAGTTTGGTATCAAGATCTATGTTTTTGTGTTTGTTTTGTCATAAGATTTTAAGTATGGGTACCCAGGTCCATGTTTTTCGAACTCATCTCATGAATCTCAAGACTTGGATAAAGTTATGAATTTAGCATTCTGCTCTTCATGTTCTCAAGAGGTGAAACCAGATTTTCCCTCAGATCTCAATTCCTTGAATGCGTGGTCGTCGGGAACACAACCTCGGCCCAAGAGGTGTGGGACCTCGCCTAGACCTGGTTTAGTACCAGCACCTGTTTTTCCGGAATGAAAAGGCAGTTTGTAACTCCCAGCATGTTTGCTTTGTTTTTGACTATTTTGAAGAATGCCGAGCCTTGTCTGTGGGAATACTCAAATATATCCATGGCAGGCGTAACAGAAGATCCTCCAATAGTCACTGATGAAACCACTCAAAGAGACGACCTCACTCCAACAAACATGCTTGGACCGGAGACTATCGCCGCGAGACGTGCCTTGAACTTTGCCTCACCCTCAACTTCGGAACATGAGACAATGCAGGCGATCATGGAGCAAGCAAAGAAAAATGAACAGAGGTTGGAGAACATGATCGCTGAGAATGAACGTCTCCATCAAGATTTGGCCTTGGAGGTGGTGAAGTCTAAACAAGCTGTACGCCAAGATCCGGAACGACCTCTGACGGCAGGTGGTCGACGACCTCGAGCCCGACATCAAAACACTAATAGCAACTCTGACTCATTATCCCCGGAGCCCAAGAAGAAGCAATGACTCGAAACTTCCAGTTCCTCTGAAGAGAGTCCACGTATAAGGCATAAGCGAAGACGAAACAGTTCAGATGAAGACTAGCATAATCCCTTTCTGCGACGGATTGTAAGGGCGGCTCTTCCCAAAAAGTTCAAAGCCCCGTCGTTCATTCTCTATGATGGAAAATCAGACCCTACCAATCACATCTGTCATTACAAGCAAGCCATGACATTGCATGCAGATGACGAGGCCCTCATGTGCCGAATATTCCCCAGCAGTTTGGGCCTATTGGCTGTCAGGTGGTATTATAAGCTGGAGCCGACTTCGATCAAAAGCTTCCATCAATTACAGAAATCCTTCAGGGCCAGGTTCATCACCAACGAGGTACAGCCGAAATAGGCTGACTCTCTCTGGGCTATGCAGATCCAGTCAGGAGAAACACTCAGAGCGTATTCGGCGTGCTATTGGGAGTGCTTCAACCTCGTCAACGACGCTTGCAATGACTCCATGGCCATCACCGCCTTCAAAATGGGACTACATCCTGACAATGCTCTTCGCAGTTCCCTGATCAGAAGACCCCCCAAAACAGTCTGGGCTTTGATGAAGAAAGTTGAAGAGTATTGCAAAGTGGAAGATTATGCCTTGAGAATAAAAGCCGGACAAATGTCCAACAAAACGGCCCCCCCCGAAATTGCTCAACCAATAACTGTGCCACCTCCGAGCCCTGAGCCACGGCAACGCGCTAAACGAGACAAAAGACGGGACTCTCGCCGATCAAGCGATCAATGCTCCCACCGGACGAATGAACAACAGCAAGTCGACAACAGGCGCTCGAGGCGTGCCGACAAGAAGTACACAAAGTTGTCAGAACCAATCACTGCAATAATGACCAAAGTCCAACACCTTCCATTCTTCAAATGGCCATCAAAGATGGTGGGGGCCACCCGACACGCGAAGAAGGGATAGGCGGTGCGAGTATCACAAAGATCACGGCCACGAAACTGAGAGTTGTTACGCATTAAAGGATCACCTGGAAGAGCTGGTGCAAGACAGCCGACTGCAACAGTACGTGATAAAGGGAAAGCCAATCAAGGCACTAGCCTTAAGGCAGGACTCACCTCCACTTGGCGTGAACATATAATCTACAGCCTGCCAGCATCCCCAACCGTGCACATAATTCAATCGCATCCAATCCCCCAAAAGCAACGTATTCCGACCGAATGGCCCAGAGAAGCTCCGATAATTACTTTCAATGATTCTGATCTTAGCGGTGCAACAGCCTCCCACATCGATCCGTTGGTCATCAAATTACGCGTAAATCGGTTCACCATTGAACGCGTTCTCATAGACCCAGGGAGTACTTCGGAGGTTATGTATTACAAAACTTTCATCAAACTCGGCTTCAACGAGTCAGATCTGTCTCCGGCACCTCACCCATTGTTTGGCTTTAACACGAATCCTGAGTACCCGTTAGGGAAGATTATATTACCTGTTCGAGCGGGCTCCAGAACGGTCGAAGTAGAATTCCTGGTCGTAAAGCTCCCTTCGCCATATAATGTCATCATGGGGCGAACCAAGTTATATATTATGAAGGCCGTTCCAAGCACTTATCATCAGCTTGTGTGCTTCCCGACAGCCCATGGCATTGAAGAAATCTGTGGCTCCGCGCAATTGGCACAAGCAGAGATTTTATGAAAACCCTATCACTGACCCGACCTGTGGGCTTTGATACTTGTATATATATCACTTCTGCAATGCAAACCATTTTTCTTCGTCGCCCAATTCATTTCTCAACCCCCATTGTAGCGCTCGTCATGTCGACGATTTAAAGCCTCCCTTGGTGCATAACACCTTAGGGCCGATTAAGTCTCCAGATCCAGAGCCCCCTTTGGTGCATGACACCTTAGGGCTGAATAAGCCTTCGGATTCGAAGTGCCCCTCGTGGATATCACGGTTGGCCACATTAAGTCTCTGGATTCGGAGCCCCCTTTGGTGCATGACACCTTAGGGCCGATTAAGTCTCCGGATTCGGAGCCCCTTTTGGTGCATGACACCTTAGGGCCGATTAAGCCTTCGGATTCGGAGCGCCCTTCGTGGATATCACGATTGGCCATATTAAGTCTCCGGATTCGGAGCCCCCTTTGGTGCATGACACCTTAGGGCCGATTAAGTCTCCAAATTCGGAGCCCCCTTTGGTGCATGACACCTTAGGGCCGATTAAGCCTCCAGAATCGGAGCGCCCTTCGTGGATATCACGATTGGCCACATTAAGTCTCCGGATTCGAAGCCCCCTTTGGTGCAT